TGTACTCCCTGGGGCCCGGGGCCCGGGCCTGGAGCAAGAGGGCGCCTATGGGCACGGCCCGCTTTGGGCATCACATGGCCGCACTTCGTGGCGCGGTCTTTGCCTTTCTGGGGCACTACGAGCCCTTCTCTGAGATTGAGCGCTATGACCCGGGCACGGACCAGTGGACCCGGCTGCGGCCACTTCCCTACGACCGCTTCTGCTATGGGCTGGCGGTGGTGGAGGAGACGGCCTTGCTGCTGGGCGGCGTCAAGTGGCGGGACTCGCGCCAGGTGCCAACCCGCAACGTGGTGGGCTATGACCTTGACCTAGACCGCTGGGAGGACATCGACTGCGCGCTGCCTTGGGCCTGGAGCGGCCTGCAGTGCGCGGTGCTGCAGCTGCCGGAGGGTGCTGACGAGGAGAGGGAGGGCGAGACTGGAGAGAATGGAGAGGCTCCAGATGTTCTGTTGGGCTTAACGGGTTAGTGCAGTCTCAGATCCAAGGAAGAGAAAGTTGTGTCTGAGCAGGTTTACAGAGCAACGAGTGGGCTTTTCCTAAGAATGGGACTCTGGGAACTGAGTGGCTTCTGAAGGTTAAGGGGGCAAATAAGTGTTTGGCCAAAGAGGAACATTTCCCTTTAAGCTGAGAAACGGAGACAGGAGGGGTCAAAATGAAGGACATGCGAACCAGCTTCAGTGAGCTAGTGATTTCTAGAAATTCTCATAATGCTGGGCCAGGGATGGGCTTTCGAAAATAAAATATGACCCTATTTTTCTTCTCATAGGTAAGTGTTTTCCTAGGTGCTAAACAGTGATTACATTTGTGCCAAATTGCCAAAAAAGGGTACTATAAGAAGGTATACACAAGACCCAGAAAATCATTAATTATAAAGGCTGTAATAAATAGTTCAAGAAAATGGCATTATCTGAATAAACAGTGAAGGGCAAGTGCCTTGGTTAAATAAGGAGAAATATGATTTTATGGTCTAGAACCCTGGTTCTGCTCTAGTTTAATATAAATATGGAACTGAGAGGGAAAAATGATCTCTACGAATCCACCTTTTATTTTTTTTATAAAAACAACCTGGCTTACTTTTTTCTGTCCTTCATCCTTACTTACCCCTTATCTGCTTTTGCGCTGAATTTAGGCATTTTTTTGCTTTTAAGTTTTATTTCAGCAACACTTAGCCATAATAATCAGGCTCCTTTGGTTAAGTGGGACATCTAACAGAAACAAAACTTTATTTCTTTCATCCTTTTTAAATGTTCATTCTGAAGACATGCTGTAGGTTATATTTTAAAAATACAACTTATTTTTGTGCCCCCCTCCTAATTTCCCCAAAGTATCACAGAGAAAGAAAGAGGAGTCGGTGAAATGGTCAGTTTGCATCAAGGAAATGGGAAACCAGCTTGATTTTACAGGGGTTCAGAGAAGATGCTTATATACTGAACAGATACTTCTGGCTTGTACCACCAGTGGAGTGGCAAAGTTAGAACTCATAACTTGGGGAGGGGGGCGAAGGAGTTGAGGGAAAGGAGGGATGGTGGCTGTATGATTGCAAGACAAAGAAATATGGTGAGGACTCTCTGAATAAAGTAGGTGCCTTATAAGGATTCATTAAGAGCTGAATTTATTTGACTTCAGTTTACAGTGCTGCCTCTCTCCTAGATTTGAAACTAATGCAATAAAATGTACAGATATATAGTGTTAAAAGGTCTCTTTCATGCTAGGCTAGCCACAAGTCTTTTAAAATTCATTAGTTTAATTGTACCATTTAAAACAACAGAGCTGACTTTACATAAGGAAAAGCTGCTTAGTAGCAACACAGCTAGTCTTTCCATCAACTGCTTGCTGTTTACAGGGCACAGCCTGGCCACTGTATTCATGACACATCCATCAGGTACAGATATTTTTAAGCGAATGTACACATTTAGTCTAGTAAACAACAAGTCTAAATACCTGTAACAAGCACACTTCATTTTAGGACAAGAGGTTTTTTTGTTTGTTTTTTTACATATACAAAATCCCACAAATTTAATATGTGTCAATATCCATGCAGTAAATAAATGTTTTTACAAATAGGTTTCTTAAATGATAAAAATATTACACTGGACCCAAAATTCCATACAAACATGAATACATGATTTCTCATCCATTTTTGACTCAATAGAGGATTACTGAAAATGTGCTGTAGAAAGGCCACTTTCCTGTACAGTTGTGCAAAGTCTGCAAAACGATAGTGATTCAATGGTGGTTTCAAAAGCAAAGAAAAAGATCCCCGCTGTGGAGTTTTTACTTTCTCCTCTACAGCAAAAATATTCACTGGCATACATCTGAACTCTTAGTGATGAAAGTACATTCACTGAGCTGGACAGGCAACAGTATAAAGCTGATTAGAAGTAGAGTTTAGGATATAGAATAGTAAAGGAGGTTTCCTTCCTCCCGAAAAAACAGCAAATTGTGACTTGTACGTTATGCAGCCAGACACTAAAAAGCAGCACAGTCATTGTCATGCTGGGATCACTTTTAAAAAACGAGATGCTCATAAGTGGAAATATATGAAGAGGACGTTTTCATAGACTTCATCCACTTTATAGAACAATTCACGAAGCCAGGAAAAAGCTCTATAAATTGTTTCTCTCACATAATGCAATGTAAAAGAACTCTGAATGGCCATCATCCTCTTGCTCCTCAGGAGAGAGGTACATTTTTATTTTGCAACATTGTTTTCTATATTATAACACACATCAACCTGTAATTAAACATATTTCATTTCCCTGCCTGAAGTATAATTCCGTAAGTTTAATTAATGGACTAGTGGGAAAATTGCAAACTAACTGGATAGTTGATTCATTTCAGTTTATACCTTGTAGTTTTTTTAAGAGTTGCAGTTTAAAAACACGAGTTTGGGCTGAAATGTTATATATATACCTGTTAGCTGCCTTTCTGGGTGAGTTAAGTGTGTTTTAAAAAATCCACTCTCAAATTCCTCTGTACACAATCAGCATATCATCACTACAAAAATAAAGGAAGATTTAAACCAAGAAAATAAAGCAGCTCTATCTTCAATTTTGGTCTTTGTTACAAAAACATCTTACAAAGCTTTGCCCTGATACACCGTTAAGTGTCCCCATATATTTGGAATAGTATTCCCATTAACCAGCTTTCACAAGTTAATAGACTATTAAGACGAATATTAGATACCTGAACTTTTCTTATGTTGATGCTCTTCTATTTTGCTTAACTCTTTTAGGCGCATCTACATTTCACAAAAATAAAACTACAGCTTACTTTGTGCAATGTTTAAGAAAATCCTCAGAACATTTTAATAAATATAAAAAAGGTTTAAATTCTTTCCCACCCGCAAGGATGTCTGCACCTGAAAAAATGTGGATTTACTTTTGAAGTCTTCTTTATATAAAATTAACTTAAAGGGAGAAAAGATGACCTTAGATAGAAAACTGCCATTTTGTATTTTTCTACTTGAAGACCACCTGTCTTCAGAATAGTCTGCAAAAGTTCATTTTAAATCATTGAAGACAGTTGTTTTTGCACATGGTAAACATAAGCTGAGCACTAATTGCATATAAAATATATAAATGCTCATTAAAGACAATGGTATTATGACCATATATGGTTTGTTTCATATAGTTTGGTAACACTGAAGTATAGCTTGTCAAGTGTCCCACACACTGACATAAAAACTACCTTATATACTTGTTCAAAGTACCAGAAGGTACCAGATGGACTGAAGACAGAATACACTTACACATGCGTTTCAATGTATGAATGAGTGTGTGTGAGAGAGGAAGTGATTACATCTACTTCAGTAGAAATACTTAATGGGTCATTTGAGGTGGTGTTTTGACAGATATCCAAGAAAAGATCGAGGTACATCTGCTTCCACTGTTGGAATTCTTTAGATGTCAAGTCTGGATTGTCTAGGACTTTATCAATAATGGCCACTTCCCCTTCTCTGGCCTGAAAAGCAAAATGATTCAATAGTTAAGATGTGGACAAACTTATGTTCAAGTTTAAGATAACAAGTTAATAGGCAAAAATTAAAAAGCCCATAAGAAATGGCTCTGGTATATCCAAACTCAGCTATTTAGATTAAAATTTTAGTGTACTTTTTCTACCCCCAAGGTATGCCTTGTATTGCTTATTCTCTGTGGTTTATTTTTTCTCATTTATCATCTCTACATACAGAAACCTTCCTCATTCTTTAAGATCCAGTTCAAATGCCTCTAGTTTCCTAAAGCCTTCCTTCAACAGTTGGAAAAAATGTTCTCTCCCTCATTGATGCTCCCATAACACTTTATCGCTGCCATTGAGTGGACTTACCACATTTTGTTTCGAGTTACTTTTACACTGTCCTTTCTCTCCTGCTAGGTGGTCAGTACCTATCTTTTATACGTCCAAGGAAGGGGCAGAGAAATCTAGGGAATGTTCTGCAAGAAGTGGGAAGGCACACTTCTGGACTAGCCAGACTTGAGAGGGAAAGACAACCACAGCTAAGCAGTTGTTCTGGTCCTTGGGGCCAGACAGAGACAGGAGGGCTCTGACCAAGGATGTTTTGTGTCACCCTGTGCTTGGTGAGGGGCCCATTACAATTTCAGGAACCACATACCCAGGGTTGCTTGGGCAGTCATCTTTCTCTAATGGGAGATTTCCATTTCCTGTTCATTTCCCACACTGAAAAGTATAGGGCTCTATAGTTTTTGTTTGTTTGTTTTGTTTTTACCAATGAGGGGCACTTCTTTTCTTTTATAACAATTAAATTTATTGGAGTGACATTGGTTAATAAGATCATATAGGTTTCATGGGTACAATTCTATGACACATCATCTGTATATTGCATTGTGTTCCCACCACCCAAAGTCAAATCATCTTCAGAGGGGCATTTATATACCGTATCTCTTTTTTTTAATCATCTTTCTTTGCCCCAGAGAGTAGAGCACAGCATCACATAGCTGGTGACTCATCAATACTCACTGAATGGAAAAAACTCTTTTTTTTTTGGCAGTGTGTGTGTGTGTGGGGGGGGAAGCTACAGAGCATGAGAGATAGGGGTGAGGGGCTGAGAGAAAGAGGGACAGGAGCAGGTCTCTAAGATATGTGAGCCTGACCTGCTTCCAAGTGCCTGCCTAGTGTTCTGACCAGGCAGTTAACTAGTAGATCTGAACATAGGGCGAGGGGTGGAGGGTGGGCCTGTTAGGTGAGAAGGTAAAGATATCTTTGGAGTAGGATTGGTAACCAGAATTATTCTTACAAATATTATAGCTCTTTTGAAAATCTGTAATAACGTCAACAATAAAAAACTTTAAAAAATTGGTCTTAGTTACCAAAGGCCATTAGGTTGTCCCATGGATTTGCAATAGCATTTGCATGAATACCAGTTGAAAGCTAATTGATTGAAAACTTGACTGCCTGTGACAGGAAATGTTTTCAAATAATGCATTTTCTATTTTATCTTTTTGTTACTCATTTATGTTTCAAAATCACAAAACCTCAGCAACATACTATTTATCTGAAATATTTCCCAAAGGAGTCCTTTTGCTCTGTAGGATAGTTTTTTTCTCCTGTTTTTGATTTTCAAGGGTGCAGGGCCTGCTTGCAGGAGAGTTTGTG